TCGAATTTTACAGCTCATACAAGTGCTAAAGTTTTTAGAATGTATATTAGTTGATTGTCATTCAGATTTTCCCTGTACTTGGACATCTTTTTATCTCCAGAGTTATTATCAAGGATAATACCATATCAAAGATATTGTGAAGATAGTCATAGTTATATTTTATAAATGAACAACTGGATTTTTCAAAGTGATTTGAGCCTGAGCTCTCAAATGAGAGGTGTCTTATTTAATAGGAAACCGGTGGCTGGATTACGGGTAACCTTCAAAAGTGGTCACTTGATTTGCTGTCAAAAATGCATCCAGGATTAATCTTTGTTTGTTTTTAAATACCCCAGTCTTAATTTTGAAGTGAATTTGAGCTCTGTTCTTCATTTCATTTAACAAGCAACATATCCTGAGTTCAGAAGTTCAGTGCATATGCCCAAATCTTTTTTTCCCTTAGAGAGTTTCAGTAATCCTAGTCATGTTCTGCTTGACCACATATTGACCCTTTTCACAGTAGAAAGAAACTCAACATACTGTTTATAAAATTGAATCAAATGCTCATGATCTGGGAGTGTTATAAAATGTGAAGAAGTAAAGCTGTATTGAGCCAACAACTTTTGCAATTTGTAACTTGTGTTAATTGTGTGGCAAGACTGTTGCAGATCATGTTCCAGTTCAAACAAACAATTTTTATTTTTAGGAAATACAAAACATTTAAGGTGGGGGAAGAACGTTGCAAGTTGGTTTGTTCTAAAAAGTACGCAATGCACTATAAATAGTACCTTCTAATAAAACTCAGTCTTAAATAATATAAAATATGCTGATGAAAAAGTCTTGATAGCCAGAAGCTCTGGTGATCTTCAAATACTGTTAGATCGAGTCATAGAAGACAGTAACAACATGAAACTGTCAGTCAGAGCCAAAAATACAAAAACAATGTTGCTAGATAGGGATAACTGCAATATCAATATTATGTGTAATGATTCAAATATAGACCCAGTAGAGAAATACATGTCCACATGATAAGAGATAGGTGGAGATATGCCATGATGGTAGCCTACCTTGCGTATTGAGAAGGCATCAAAAGAGAGATAACAGAACTTGTTGCATTATATATAGGATGTCATGCATGCTACCATGGCCAACAGCCATGCCTTTCGTATGAGCACAATCAACAGAAGCATCAATATTGAAACCCACTGTATTGTGTGTTCCTAATTTCAATACAGATTTCTGTGAAAGGAACTAGTTCCTTTATTGATTTGTAAACTGAAAATCAGGAGTTTGTATACAGTATAGAGATTAATGTTAAATCATACTTTGTCTATGATGATGAGTATAGACGTCTGGTAGTAGTAGACAGCTGAGCACATTTTAAACAAGTTTGAGATAGACTCATGAATGCATATTAGCCAGACCAGCTGCTGGTTTTTACAAATAAAAGCAGTTTCATCATTTTCAAGTGGTGAATAGAGAGAAGTTGCTTAATTATTTTTGAACCTTTGCCTGCATCAAATGCCCTTCCCCAGTTGCTTTTCTTATACAAATGCAATTAGAAATTCTTGTTTTTATTTCAAACTCTTGTCCTTGTCCATACCAAGCTACTTTATTTCAGTCTAAAATAAAAAGTAGCAAACTGAAAAGGAATTAAGTGGCTGTCTCTCATACTTCTCAGCTCCTAGTGGGTTCTTTGCTGTCCTGCTTTTACCCTTCAGAGAAAAAAATAGAGATAATACGTAGTTTGCCTAAGCAAAAATTATATAAAAAGGCTATGACAATTTGCTGGGATTCTTTGATTGGTTTTCTTGCATTTAGTATGACCACTCCCAAAATGTCCTTAAATCTTCTTCCATTCAAATTTAAAACTAACTTTTTTCATATCATACAAACATTACTAAGCATAAAAGCCTTGATATTTTTCCTTAGAAAGCTGAGATAATGTTGATAATAAACTAGAAAATACTGTTCTCCAAGCAAGAGATTTTGTATTCCCAACTGGATAAACATAACAAAATCACAGTTTAATTTGGATAGGGTTAGATATTATTTTTGGTAGAATCTGTACTATCTAATATCATCTTCAAGTGGATACACAAGAAATACAGATAGCATACATCAGACCAGGGATCAACTGTAGCCATTAGGGGGAAAAAGTGAGTGGGTGTCTACATTGTAAAATACCATGCAATTTGTGTTAAGAGTTGAAATGGTTAAAACTGATCCATTTTCCTGAGACTACACTATGTAAAACTAATTGAGTAGAAGCCCTCACTTTTTTCAGTGGCACATGTGTCTTTTTGTTCAGCCAGTGGGGGTCGCAGCTGCTTGTGGATTCCCCCTCAGACCTCACTTCAGACATATAGTCATCCTTTCCCATGTAACAACTTGTGCCATCTCCCTATGCAGCAAATCTCTTTCTAGAATTGGCCCTCTGATGTGAGTGGCTTGATCCCATAGTCAGTGGGGATGGGTGAGATTTGAAGGATCTTGATCCTTTTTTCCTGGAAAGGCACCCTTTCTCTTGTTTGAAATTAAGATTTTTCCAGATATGCCTTTAGTCATTGTTGACAGGGAGACGTTCCCTCCCCTTTTAAACTGCATCCTTGTGGATGAAGTGAGGATTAATTAGATCAGTTGAAGCTCACCCCCCTATAGGTCTACCCAGAAGGAAGTTCTACTGAGTTAAATGGGGCTTACACCCACGTAATTCGATATAATATTGCAGCCTTAATTAATTAACAAGGGTAAGAAGCAATTGTGATACAACTTGCAGCTTGTGTAATAAATATCGTTTGGGGCTTACACCCACGTAATTCAATATAATATTGCAGCCTTAATTAATTATAATTACTTAACAAGGGTAAGAAGCAATTGTGATACACCTGTATGCCTTTAGTCATTGTTGACAGGGAGATGTTCCCTCCCTTTTTAAACTGCATCCTTGTGGATGAAGTGAAACTTGCAGCTTGTGTAATAAATACCGTTTCTATACTTAAAACAATCTTACCAGTGCAATCCTGTGCATGAAGTTTCAGAAGTAACTTACTGGTCTGTAATCCCAGATATGTGGCTATAGGACTGCAGTTTACCTTTGCATCCATGCCATGGCAAAAACTTTCCTGGTGAAGAGAACTGAAATCTTGATGAATAGCCAGCAGTTCCTGTTGAAAAGCAAATCCTGTCTGTTGGTCTCTTTATTATAATGGGAAGCAGTTTGACCTTGATGATCAAAGTCATGGTACAGAATCTGAACCAAGGATAAACAATATCATACTGTTTGTATGACCATTCCTTCACGAGATGGTGTACATGGGGATTTGACTGTAGAATTCCCTCCCTCCGTCCACCAGCTGTGTCTTTGTGCACAGTCCATGTACTGACATTTACTAGTGCCCTTCACTCTTGTTTTCTTGTAAATGTCAAAGTGTTTTCTTGTAAATGTCAAGAAAGCTCAATGGAACAATTCCAATCTCTTTGAATATGTGCAATAAATTTCCCTTCAAAATTTGGGTGCGAAGAATTGAATAACACTATGCCCAAGCTAAATATCCAGAAAAAGATAATAGCGGTGGGTTTAAAGAAAAGAAGTATGGATTTAACTGTCTTCTACAGTAGAAGTCAGATCAGATTTGCTCAACCTGATTTAGTCCAAATATTTTAGAATACAGTATACTCCAATAAGCCTCAGTCAGCACAGTTATTAAGAATGATGGAGGGGCCAAACCATCTGTAGGTTACCAGATTGAGCTAGTTTAGGCTCAAAAGGGTTGTGTTTATAATAAGGTGGTGATTCTGTGCCAGTGAGCTGAGCTTAGCCTCCGGTGAACTCAATGAGACTTAATTTTAAGCTGATAAATGGAAAAATACAAAATATGTTATAAAATAGTTACACTTTACACTGAAATCAATATGGGAATGTAGTCATTGTTAACTGAGTATAGTGCATTCTGGCTCCAACTCAAACTCGAGATAAACTCTCATATTAACATGACTAATATCTTCATTTTGGTTCTGACTGCCTGGGCATTGCATCATTGCCGTGTCATGCAAATAATGAAACACAGTATCCTCTCCTTCTAGCTAACTTGTTTTATTGTATTGGTTGTGTTTGTGTTAAGCTGCAGTGTATTTATTTGACAGGGTTTTTTTCTTTGCATCCATTGATTGGATACAGAAATACCTGCAAATACTGTATTAAGAACAATCTCACAAAAATGTCTAGATGCAGAAAGATTACAAAGGAGCTGCTGAGTCTGAAGTGGGTCTTCCAGAAAGGCAGAATTCATTAATAGTCACAGTAGCTTCAGATGGACCTACATATAAAGATATTCCATAGCTTCTCAGAGTTAATACTAGTTTCATAAGGACATGTGGGAGAAAAGCATAAGCATACATTTTTCCCATCTTTTGAAACAATGAGTTAATTGATGGTCACATATCGGTAGGTAAGCTTTGCTTCACGAAAGACAAGCAGACAGAATGAGCATTTGGCAAGGTTTTGAAGCGTTAGACTTTGGGAAAAGATGATAGAACAGGACCAAGGGAAACAAAGGTTAGGCCATGTATATGCTTTTCCCATTCATCGGCAGGCTGAAATGATGATTTGCCCTTCCTTTACAATCAAGGTCTTCTCACATTCTATAGAAATGTGAGAAGATGCAGTTATTCTAGCACATGGCTTTATGGCATCTTGAAACGCAAAGCACCACCACTTCTCATATTTGTTTACTTGAGAAATATCTGCTAAGAACTTTTAAAAATAGAAAATAACTATACGAAAAACTTATATTTTGACTTCTCTTATCTATTGGTAACTACTGATGTGTGCCAGTAGTTATCTACTGCCAATAGGTGTGAAAAACCCATATCAGTTTCTAGGTAAAAATATGGTCCCATATATGGGGATGGGTCTGCTTTTTTCTTTCTGTTGATCTAAGTGCTACAGAGTAAAACAAGTGGGAATGGACCCCCTTCCTCTCTGTTTCCTCTCTAACTTTTATCTCCCTTTGTTTAAGGCTAAGCTATGTGAACCATGCAGAGGATCTGGCCTCCAAATTACTCCAGTGTTTCCCAAAGAACAGATTGTCAGCACAAGCAGCTCTGAGCCATGAGTATTTCAGTGATCTGCCCCCACGGCTATGGGAGCTAACCGACAGTGAGTATAACAAACATCTGGACAGAAAATAATACAGGAGTGTGTCTGTGTGTGTGAGAGAGAGAGATTTGTATTTTAAATTAGTTTGTTTGACACAGGAAAAATGGATTCTCCCTTGCTATCTCTACTGTGCAGTGTGTAGCTAGCTATCTTTGTATTTGATTATGTGCGCAGTCAAGAGAATGATATGAAATGTCATAAAGAAAAAAAGAGCCAGTGAAATACAATTTACATATTTAGCTTTTTGACTTTATAACATACAGCACTTTTTAACTAGCTGTAGCTTCCAGGACAATAATCCAGTGATATTTGATCCTCAAACACTATGTCCCTTTTTTTAAGGCTTTAATTTTTAGAAGACGGAGCAGCATAGAGTAGACAGTTGGTTAATTCCCAGTGTTTAAATAAGAGCAAGTTGAGTTTATGTTTTATAGCTATAGGGTAGTTTCAGAATTTATATACTGTAGTTTTGTTTGACTTTTTAAACAAAACATACTAAAATTATCATGGGTTTTTTTCTGAAAAAGATATTTTCAATTACTTTGGTAATGAAGTTTTTATGAAACATGATCCTTTGTTTTTCTTTATTATTAACACATATTTGTAGCACATTAAAGGAAAGCTATTTTGCATTGAATATGGTAACCGAAAATGTTGTGCCTGTATGATATTAGTGTTAACCAATTCTTTTTCAGGTGACATTTAGGTGTCCAAACATGAGGCACAAAATGTTCTTGGACTGCATTTAGCTCTACTGTTTTGCTTTTTGAATTATGTTTGTCTTCCAATTCATTTTGTAAATTAATGTCTGCATTTCACAAGGCCCTACGGAGAAATCTTGATTCAGAGCCAATGTAGTTCTTGTTGTGTATTTACAAACTTCAGAAAGAAATGAGAGAAATTCCTGCCTGAATCTACCAGTCGCTATAAGTATTCAGCTGCCTGGATTGATGTTCTAATGTGTCAATCTTCAATAATTTTGTGCCTTCAATGCTGTCTCTAAACTGAAGGTTTCCCATCATGCAACTTTCCGCATGTGGTCATTATTAATGAATAAGTACATGCATACATATATACAGTACACACATTTCCATTTACCTTGTTTCTGAATATTGAGAAAGACTTTATGGGAAAAGATTCCAGAGGGCACTTGAGAGTAGCTGGGTTTGCATGAGCCCATAAAAACATCCTTTCATGGGTTCATGCAGTGTAAGAGGTATATTAGAGGTCGCTAATAACCAACTTTTCAAAATTGACTCCCAGCAGAGTTCCTCCTGACAAACTCTTTTTTAAAAAAGGAAAGACAAGCAGACAGAAAGAAAAGTCCATAACACCCATACTTATATCTGTCCTTTCTCTAGATAAATGCTAGTATATGTGCTACATATCTTTCCCTTTCACAGGAAGAGACAAACTCTCTTCTAGACCAATGCAGTTTGTAGTCTATTGCATGATGCAATCAGAATTTTCCAAACTGCCTAGATGCTATTTAATGAGGCATTCTGAGAAATCTGTAGTACTCACTTGCCATCCTTCCTGAAAGTGCGCAGGGCTGAAAAGAATGGCAGGAATATTGGGGAGGGGGACACATAAGCCCCATCCTCCATCTCCCTCCACAAATCTAGCCCTCCTCCATGTGTTCCATGCAAAGGCCTTCATAGATGTTGTTGGTACGTTCATCTGAATGTGCTTACAGCAGGTGTGCAGGCTGTCCAGGTGGAGGTAGGGTTTAACAGCATCCTCACAACCCTTTGAGCCCTGCATGCTTTCACATTGAATGCCTGAATAGAGCTTATTGGCTTTCTGAAAATAATAATACACAATGTTTCAGTAGCTCTTGACTGCTGAGGCATTTAAAAAACACACGAACAATTTGTTTGTTTGCATACAGTCAGCCTGGAAAGGAATGGCTAAATATCGTTCTACATTGGTGACATCTCAATTCTGTCTGACTGTGTATTTTAGTCTAGCCAGGATTTTGATAGTCTGTGCATACCATAGTAATATTTTGCGGTTAATATGGATTTATTACCCACTTGCCACTTAGTTTATCAGTTGGTGGTTAAATCCAGTTCTATCAGTGAAGTAAATGCCTACACATTATCACTGTGCAGCAGGCTGCCAACAGAGACCGTCTTGTCCTAGTCATTAACAAGCACAATGTATGCAGAACACCAGAGGGGAATTAAAACCACAAAAAATACCTCAGGGTGGTATTTTTAATATGAGAATTTAATTTGTAATTTCACAGATTAAGAATTTTGGCTGCATTAATCCTTTTATCAGCTCACAGCAGGTTATTTGCAGAAGCATAACCATAAGGCGATATTCATTGGCAGAAACACGTCTTTGCATAACGTTAAACATCAGGAGCAGTGAAACCTTTTGAAGGGGGAGAATAAAGATGAAAAATCATTATATTTTAAGGCAAGGGTTCTGCTACATGCCTCTAGTAAAATTTCCAAGTAACAGAAACGATATTTCTGTGTCTCACAGATAATCGTTATAGAGCATAAATCCAATACAATCCCTGTATCAAATACTGTAATTGTTTCCATTTGGTATGCATGCATAGAAATTGCAAATATAGTTGTTTGTTTTTTTGTATGTGTCTGTGTGTATCTATGCACAATGTATATGTGCAATACTATATAAGGAGTATTATATGTATACACACACACAAAATGAAATTGTCTTTTATATGGGAGACGATAAATGAGTATCATTTAGTAGGCACACGTAAGGAATCTGCATCTTTTAGATTTTTTTAAAAAGATAGATATAAATCCTTTAATACATTTGCAAAACTATTTCACAAATTATTATTAGTGTAGGCTTGAGCATAGTGTGTGTTTAAGCCATAGATCCTTGGGCCCACTGTAGGTATCGTGGTCCTCCCAAAGACAGTGCCCCAAAAAGAACAGTTTGTGGTGATCCTTTACAAATAAAATGTTATGGATCAGCCTGTAAAATTCAAACTTGTCAACATTTTTGATTCTTTTTTTTCCCCTACAAAAGCAGTAGATTTAGCATGTTGGATAGTCTCACACTATTCTGTCTCTCAGAATCAACACTATTTCTGAAAAGTATGCCATATGCTAAAAATTATACAAATTATTTTTGCACATTTTGTGTTTTAGATCAGTTCATACTAGGAGTGGGCCGCTCTGGCTCTCCATCTGTAACTCCCATCAGCCCTAACTAACAGTTATAGATTACAGGAGCTGCAGTCCAATAATACCTATAAGGCTCCAGCTAGGCCCCCTCCTCAACTTATACTGTTCAGTTGGACAGACTGTTATACGTATATGCAATTGTGACTAACGTTCATTCAAATGAAATTAAAATGTGTGTTATATTGACATAGTATTTTTTTTAAAGGGTGGTGTGATCTCTTAGCTGAAAGTGGACCTTCTATGCTTTGAAACACATACTTCTCTTAAGCCATGGGCATTGGGAAAATGAGAACACACATAAGCTCCATCTAGAAGCCCCATCCTAAACATGCTTGAAAAACTCCTATGATTAGGAGTCTTGCTTCCTTGATGAAGGAGAAACAATTCTGAAAGGAACAGGAGAGGGGGAGCAAGAAGCGAGAGGAAATAGTTCATGGGAAAGAAATTGAGAATGCAAAGGCCAATGCATGCAGTAATGCCAGAAACCAGACCCAGAAAGCTAACAAAAACAAATTTTTACTTTCTGAATCCATGAATCTTTCCACTAGGTGCAGTCCTTCAGGCACGGGTTGTAGCTGGTCTCAGAATGACTATCCAGAGTAATTTATTCTCAACTGCCTTCCTGATAGTCATCATGTGTGTGTCTTTTTTATGTAGACAAAAAAAGGAATGATTCCGTAATGGAATGTCCTTGGTTTTCTCAGTTATGTAATTTCTTCAAAATGTTCAAAGAGACTGATAACCTCCAAAATGGGTTTGATATGGGATAACATATTCCTTTCAATTTGTCAGGTACATGTTTTCTTAAAATATGGCCTTGATAATATTGATTGATTGATAATACTTATATACATGTTTTTGCTATTATATACAAATTTTAAAATTTGTATATGACAACAAACAAAAATGAACTACAAAACAGAAATAGCAGGAGGTTTTCAGACAATTAATGGTGTCTTTAGAAGTTGGTTGCATTTCCTCCTAGGTTAAATAGTAGTACAAGAGGTTATTGCCCATCTTTCAAAAGAAGTCAGATATTCATGTCCCATTTTGAAACAAGTTTTTTTTTCTCTCTCTCTCTTTTTTTCTTCTTTTTTGGTATAGTTTTGGGACCTATACTTTGGGTAATAGGAGTTGATTTATAAAAGCTCTTCCTAGTTTAAAAACAAATTGCTCAGTTTTGATCTTTTCCCCACAGTGTCTTCTATTTTTTCTGTACCGAATGTAAGACTAGAACCAGAGGTTGGAGAAAGCATGAAAGTCTTTGGAAAAAACAATATTTATGGCAAAGGTTTATCAAGCATAAAGCACTGAAGCATATTGATTTCCCTCAAATAATTCAGGTAAGAGTGACTTTATTATAAGTATTCATTTTTCTGTAAAACTTTCTCTACCTTGGACCTTTTTTTGTATCTGCCAGCAAGAAATATAAGCAATATAGAGGAGTTTCTCTGCCTCCCTGTAAAACATGAGTGAGTTCAGCTGGGGACATATCTTGGATGGGAAAAATATGAAGACACAATGAGGCTTCCAGAAGCAGAGGATGTAAAGAGTATGAATTTTTTAAAGGAATGCTGATTTTGGTCTTCAGTGCCAACTACATCTGAATGGTAGGCTTCTGACAAAAATGTATGAATCCCAAACTAGGCTGTCAAGAAAAGGAGATTTCCCATATTAAATTATCTCAAAATGACTTCATTGAATACAGAAGGCTGTGCTTGTAAGTTGAAACCTGTCAATATTCTTTGGCAGATGTTGAGTGAAAAGTCTCAGAATAATTGCCTGCATCTGTTGAGACTGATGGACAGCACCAACTTTTTGGTGATTCTGTTTCAGAAACATTTCATCTTCCCAGCACACAAGCAACGATATATATAAATCTACTGGGCCCCACTTTTGGGACAAAGGTAGAATAAAAAATCCTGTAAATCAATAAATGACAAAATAAATATGTCATCACTGGGAATAGGTGGCTAGTTCTCTGGCCAGAGTGGGACTGATGCATGGAATATGTCTGAGGAGGAATATTGGGGTATGCATTGCTGGATGGTGGATATTACTGATGAAGAAATGCAAATTTACCCAGAATAAGCATCTGCTCTTTTTAAAACATCTTTTTCCTTTCATAGTTTACCCATTCCAGAGGTTGTATTGAGCCAGTGTATCACTCAAAATTCAGAGTTCTTATATGAATCCTTAAAAGAAAAAGGCAGATAATGGCAGCACTTCCCTTTTTTTCTCACTGCAACAGCATGTTCATTTTATTTATTTATTTATTTTATTAGATTTTTATCCTGCCTATTTAGACAACGTCTATTCTGTATGTATGTAAGCAGCAAGCTGTCTCTGGACAGGAAAAATAATCTTACTTCCTGTGAATTATATGTAGGCAGGACATCTATTGTGTTTTATCCCATTCTTTGTTCAAGGAAGGTGAGGTGACTTGTCTAGTGTTTAATCCTCATGACAATCCACTGAGTTCGTTACTATGCTACACAAGGAGAACCAAAGGGGCCAGTATGGTCTTGAGGTTTTCCCACCACCTTAGCTAAAGGAAACCCTGTTTCAAGCAAGCAAGGGGCAGGGAGAGCCATCACAGGGTAATTTGTAGCATTTTGATCTCAAAATCCAGGGTGTAAAAATTCCAAATCTTGCTACAGAGACAGTAAAAGGTCCAGCCTCACAAGAAGAGCTGATCATCATTTTCAGATTTGTAGCATCAATTTCTGGACAAATGTTCTGCACCATCCATGAAGGGAGTGTGCTTAGAGCCTGAGGAAGTGAATTTCACCCACAAAAGCTTGCTCTTTGTTTTATTTTTAGTGGTCCAATTAAAGGTATCACCTAGTCTTGCATTTGTGTAAAGAGAACTGAGTCTCACTAGATCAAGACCAGGGGTCCGTCCATTATAATGTAGCATCAATTTCTGGACAAATTTTCTGCACCATCCATGAAGGGAGTATGCTTAGAGCCTGAGGAAGTGAATTTCACCCACAAAAGCTTGCTCTTTGTTTTATTTTTAGTGGTCCAATTAAAGGTATCACCTAGTCTTGCATTTGTGTAAAGAGAACTGAGTCTCACTAGATCAAGACCAGGGGTCCGTCCATTATACCACACCAATGTCTATCACTGCAATCCTTTCAGTAAGATCCTGAGGTGCTCAGTTCCCTGATTTTTATTTTCCGTCTCTAATGATTAAAGGTTTAAGAATGACATAAAGGGTAGCTGTGTTGCACTGCCCCAGTTTATCAAACTACTTCTGATCTTGTTATGACATCCACAGATTTACCGTATTTTTTCATGTATAAAATGACACTTTTTCCTAAAATAATTAAAGGAAAAATTGAGGGTTGTTTTATACACGGAAGGAGGCAGAGGCAAAGGAGCAGTCGCACACGCGCTCAGATGCCTCTTGCTGCTGCCGCTGCCCAATTACCTCCTCCAGGGTTCACGGCTTGTTCCCAGCAGGAGACGGAGGCAAAAGAGCAGTCACACGCGCTAGGATGCCTCTTGCTGCTGCCTCCCCTGCCCGCCAGGTCCCTCTTGCTGCTGCCGCTGCCCAATTACCTCCTCCAGGGTTCACGGCTTGTTCCCCCCCCCGGTGGCGGAAACAGTAGCAGCAGGAGACAGAGGCAAAAGAGCAGCCACACGCGCTAGGATGCCTCTCGCTGCTGCCTCCCCCGCACCAAAACAGTCGCACTGGAGGAGGTGATTGGGCGGGTCCTCCAGCGGGACTGACGGGGCTCACCTCTAGCTCAGCCCACCTTGTTCCATCCGGTGGCGGAGGCAGCAGGAGGCAGAGGCAAAACAGTCGCACTGGAGGAGGTGATCGGGCGGGCAGCAGAGGCAGCAGGAGACAGAGAGACAGAGGTGGAGGAGCAGTTGCCCATTAACTGCTCCTCCACCTCCAGCAAGGGTCAAAATTAGAGGGTCGCTTTATACACTGGGGTGGTCGTATACATGGAAAAATACAGTAAGTTGATGTTATTGGTACTCCACAGGTAGCCATGTGTGTCATATTGAAACATCCCTCTGACCAATTCCATTTCCAAAAGACTTTGTATATTGTCGTCATGATCTCTGTGATCAATTTCCTTAATTTTTAATTTTTAAATTGCAAACTGCTTTCTGTTAATTGCTTAATATAACATAGTTGAGTAGTCACTGGAAGGCTCATGTCATTTAGTCATAAGGGCTCCTTATGTTTAAGGCAATGGAAGGGAAGGGAGAACAAACATCATAGATTCCACTTTATTTGGAACAAACTGGCCGGAACTTTATTGGTTACAGCTGCCAAATTGCCATGGCGCTAGCATGGAGATGAATAACACATCAGCTGGCCCACCTGCTGGCTGATGATAACCCAGGTAACAGAATTAGAGTTAACCATGTGGTGTTCAGCACTGTGTGGATCCCCAGGGACCTTCCTCATTCCCCTGAATCTGTCCTCGTATTCCAAACTACCCCCAATAAAGCTGTGACAAAATTACAAGGAACGCCTCCATTTTACTGAATACCCATATATACTAGACAGTATAAATTTAAAGAAGGATGTTGGGTGAGAGAAGTGCAAACAATGAAAGAGGCCAGCTAACCAAGACTGGTCCTTTTTCTACCTCCAGACTGAGCCCTGCCTAGGAGTAGACCCAGTTGGTCATCTTTGGAAGCATGGAAAGCTCCTCATTCCATGCAGAGCATGCTGGTTTGAAGAAAGTGGCCCCAACACAGCAAGCCATTACACTGCCCCAACCCTCTGGAGCCCTGACAGTGATAAAAACTGTACCCGTTAAATTGGGAACCACTGGTTCGGTTTAAAAAGTGCTTTAACCTCCACTCTTATTTTTTTTAAAAATCAGTTAATTATACTGTGATATTATAATTTACATTACTTATACTTGCATGGAAGAATAAATAAAACTAGTCAGTGATTCATAACTGCAATGAACTGTGTTTAGAAAAAAATCATATACCAGTACTAGGGTGCATGCAAAGCACTGATGGTGATTTAAAAGCAACTTACAAAGTAATGAGGACAGCCTGCTGGAAAGATAGCAGCTACTAAAAACAAGTCATCAAATGTCAGTCTGTTCCAATTATTTCACATGCTTCTCTACAGCTAACCATTAAAATTGTACTGTGTCATAAATCAGGCTGTCTTCAGAACTGGTTGTTTACCTCTTCATTGTCCAATACTTCCTTTTCCTCAAAGCATTATCTCTGCAGTCATTTCTATAGTTTTACCCATTTAATATGGTAGCAATTGTTAAATATCTATTGTTATCCAAACCTCTTGCAAATACAGCAGAAAATTCAGAGAATTTTTATATGGTAAATATCCAAAACACGTATTTGAGGATTTATATTTCTCCTCCAATTCCCTGTGGTCTAGCCTCCCCATATTTAGGTAGCTTTCTTTAAAAAAATGACTTGATGTTTGGGACTGGTTTGATGGCCGAAGTGTGGACTTCCATCAGCAGTAAGGGATCACTGATACAGTAATGCTTTCCTTCAAAAAATAATTACAATGTGTGTTTCTTGGTGGAAGGTCATACACATGCTGTATCATAACAAAATAGGCATTCCATGTGATTTTTCACATGTTACATGCTTTACTCACATTTGGGAAGTGTGGGCAGATAGGAAGCAACCCTTAATATATCCTTCAGAATTAGCAAGTATGCTTTGTCCATTCTTTTCACAAACTGATAGAATTGTGCATGGAGAAGTCATATGGTGGTCCAGTATTACTTGTTTATTATTTTTAGTAGCCACTTTAACTTGGTATTATGCTTCTGAAGGATTAGCATAGTAATATCCATCTTAAAACAGGAGAATAGAAAATAGAATTCTGCCCAGGAATGTCTGGATAGATTTCATGGATGTCTTTTTAAAAGGATACAGTATTCTATTTTCTTGAATGGTTGTTTGCACATGTCTTTTACAGTATATTGCACAGAAAGTAAATATTTCCATTGCTCAAATAGTTTCCTTATTTTTTTTCCTTCCAAGCATTTACTTGTGAATCTTTTCATCTCTGGCTTTGCAAACTGTGTAAGGCACTCCTCTCAGCAGTCCTGTGTAACTACATTATTTTTGCAAGATGTTCTTTAGTCAAGCTGTGGGACTGCCATAGTCCAGCAGTGTCCGTGTCAAAGGGTACTGAGAAGTCATTCTAATTCCTCACCTCCTTGTTTCCTTCTGACCTCTGTGTCTCATTGCTGTTGAATTTCGAGGAACAGCTTAAATATTGTGTCATTTCTTCCCAATTTGACCAATGCTAGGTTATAGCACTTTGGTTGTTATCATGAAATCCATCTGCATGAATAGGTTTTATGAGACTGAA